TGCCTCGCCCCTCACAAGACCCAGACAGAGGGGCTTCCACAGCCCCCAAGACCCCGTGTGGCGGCCACCACCAGCTGCCACTTGAAGACAAGACTCTGGATTGCAAGGAACACACCTGCACCCTTTCAAAACCCAAACACAAGCCCTCTCCTCCAGCCCCAGTGGCACAGAAAAAGTTTGAGTTTTGGGGTCAGAAGGGGGTTCGATTCTCAGGGCAGACACTTCCTAAGGCTGTGACCCCAGGGCAAGTCACTTCTCCACTCCGGAAGATAGGGATGCTAATACACACCCCCCCCCCAACCAAACATGGTGGCCAGGATGTGAAGGGATCTGCGCTGGGCTAGGGGGCGCCTCTTTCCAGGCCCTCTAGCCCTCCCAGGCCCTGCCAGAAGCCCCCAACTCCAGTCAGTCCTGAAGCTGAAGTCCTCTGGGTGTGCAGAGAGGGGGGCCCCCAACCCACAGAAAGTGGGGGCTGGGGGGTGCTGAACTTTCGAACCCGCAAACCCCCCGCGCCGTTCATTACCTTAACACGAGTTAAAAATAACCGTCTCATCTCTTTAAATTAGTCTGTCTGCAATTACCGCCTGGCACGGCGCTGCCCGCCATCGTCCCGCTGGAGCGGCGCCAGGTGGCAGGCGGGGCCCTCACCCTGTCTGTCCCTCTGTCTGTCTGCCTGCCTCTCCATCCCTCCTTCTCCCCGCAGCTACCCCAGGGGCCTCCCCGCGACCCAGACTCCGGCGCTCCCCAAGTGGCGCAGGGAGGGGGCCGGGCCTGGGGCTGGCTGGCAGGAGCGCGGGGGCCGGCGGAGAGCAAGGGGACTGGGGTGGGGGCTCCGGAGCAGGGCGGCGGGGGAGGGGCGCCGGGAGGCCCGGGAAGCCGGAAGGGCCCGCAGCGCGCCAGCGCTCGTGGGTGGGTGTGAGCAGGTGGCCGTGGGAGTCTGCCGGGCGTGCCAGCAACTGTGCCAGGAGCGGCTGGCACGGGCTCGTGCCCAGGAGGCGGGCAGCTGCCAGCCCCCCGCTCGTGCGCGGCGGGGGGTGAGGACACCCCCCAACCGGGGCTCACACCGCCTCCTCCCGCACCCCCACCAACCCTTGGGGCTGGGGATCCCCGGAGGACAAAGAAGGAGGAGGGAGCCCTTCTGGAGCAAGCTGGAGGGAGGAGAGAAGGGGGAGCCCTCTGCACTCACATCCACTGCTCAGCCTGTCTGTCAGAGGACCCTCCTCTTGGCCTCTCAGTCCCTCCTTCCACCCCACCTAAGACCTGCTGCCCAGCCTGGGCCAGATGGGGGTAGCACCCTCCCTCCTGATCCCATCCCCCAACCGCAGAGCTGCTCTAGGCCCTGAGGGAGAAGGGAAGTCCCCATCCACTGTGCTCCTCCCCCATCAAGCCTGGGGACAGGAATGGGAGGTGCCCAGGCCTGGCCTGGGAGCTCCCAGGGGAGCTGGCAGCCAGGAAACACAAAAGCAGGCAGAACAACTCCAGGGGCGCTAAGTGGAAGGAGCACCAGGACCCAGAGCAGTCTGGAAGGCTTCCTGGAGGAGTCCTGTTGCTAGGCAAGGTGGGGCTGGAGCATCTGGGAGGAAGTGGGAGGCTCTACCTGCATGTCTGACCTCCACACTTTTAGGACACCGAAGAGGGAGGGGAACCTCCTGTCCCAGCCCTCATCCAGGGCCTGCAGACCCTCTGTCCTGAGAGAAACAGTAGCAGCCTCTTCGGAGGCAGTGGAGTTCCCAGCACCAAGGCCAGCCTCTCTGCAGGCTTGAGGCTGTTGGGGGTCCTGCACCTGCTGCTGGTCTGGCCTCCTCCTGTTCCCATCAGCAGCACCTCTGACTACCTCCCTGAGTCCCAGGTGGGACCACAGGGTGAAAGCCAAGCACCTGGGCCCTTCCTGATCTGGCCCACTCCCTTTCCCATGCCACCTCCCTGCCATTCCTAGGAGCCGCCCAATCCTCTCATCTCCTACAGTTCTGCCTCCTTGCCCTTGCATCTCCGTTCAACATCCCTTGAGAGACTTTCTCACACATTCGGCCCCCAATGAAGACAGCCCAGATCAAGTGCCACCTTCTCTGGGAGGGTTTGCCTGGGCTCCCAGGGGATCTAACCCGCCTTCCCTGTACCTTCCCCCACCTCTGGCCCTTCCTGGCTGTAAAACACACAGCCTGGGTGTGGAGCCCTGATGCCTCCTGAAGGCAGGTCTGATGCCTTCCCCTTTGGTCCCCCACCCTCCCTCTAACATAGGGCTCTCAGTATATCCCAGGAATTCAGGTCCACACTTATGTGGGGGAGGGGAGGGAGGAAGGAACAATGGGCCCCAGCCCCAGCCCTAGCCCCAGAGGTATACCACAGACTCCACACCCTCTGCTAAAGCACGGGCTGGCTTGGGGCTGGGGCTGGTCCCTCCACCAGTTCTCTGGAGGGACTGAATGGGAATGGGGGCAGGGGTAGGAATGAGAGGAGAAAAAGGATTGGGTGTGGGGTAGAATGGGAAAGGCCAGAGGTCCCTCTGAACAGCCCTCCTCTAGTGTCTGGGTGGTCTCAGCCAGGCCCTGGGTCGGGAGCCCAAGCCTCAGGCTCCCTCTCCCATGCCCCAGCCCAGGACCAGCCTTCCAGGGCACCTTCCTTCCTGAGCCAGGTACAGGGAGAACCAGTGTGTCCCCAGCAGCGTGGTGCAGTGGAAACCACTTCCAAGGGGCAGGCAGGAGATGGGGGGCCATCGCCCGGCACCTGCAGCTCACCAACAACCTGAGGAGTTCCATCCCCTTCTGGGGCCTCAGGCTCCCCGTTGTCCGAGAAATGAAGTCCGGGGACTAAATTATCTCCGAGCACGTTCCCAGTCACATTCTAGGATTTAGACCTGCCCCTGTTCAAAAGCTGTCTGTGTCCCCCTCCCACACCCAGTGCCAGCAGGATACTATTCCAGAGGCTGTGTGGGGCCTTGGAGGGAGACACACCTGGATTGAAATCCAGCTCTCCCATCTACTGACTGTGCAACCTTGGGCAGTTCACTCCTCCACTCTGTGCCTCAGTGCCCAGCTCTGTGAACGGTGACAATGAAACCTACCTCAAGAACTGCTGAGAGCATTAAGGAGACACCTGGCACAGATGCCTGAAGGTGGCTGACACCAGGCCCCTAGCAGCCCCTGGATGCCCTGGCTTGGCCCTGAGACCCTCATGAACTGCAGTTCTCCCTCAGCTTCTGGTCTCACGTCTTCTCTTGCCATCTTCCCCCACCATTCCTGGTCCCTCAAGCTCAAGTGGGGCTCCACCCCCTACAGGAAGCCCTCCTGGCTTACTCTGGTCCACAGTACCCTCCCCAGCCTCTGCACCCTCTGCACCAGCCACCCGTTCCTTCACACTCTCACCAGACATTCACCTGTGGCTCCTTGGTGCCAGGCTCTATGCTGGGTGCCATGGGCACGGAGACTACTCTGCCACTGCCACTGTCTTCTAATGGTTGGGTGGGGAGGGGAAATGCGACAGGACACAAAAGACTGAGCCCTATCACAGGCAAGGAGAGGACCAGGGAAGAGGAAGTCATTAGCTAGCTAAAAAGGGTCAGGGAAGGCTTCCTGGAAGAGGCATCTGAACTTGTGCTCTTGAAGACAAGAAATACATCTACAGGGAGAAGTGAAAGGTGGGAGAGTGTGTGGGGACAGGGACGGGGGTGGAAGCAAATCCCAAGGGCAGTACCCACTTAGGAGGAGTAAGTGTTCTCGTGGGAGCTGAACCCAAGAAGATGGGAGACTCATGGGTGCTCCTCCAACCTGTACCTCCACCCTGTAGTGGCCAGAGAGAGCCAGAGAAGATGCCAGCATGAAACCTGAGAGCCATGGGCCCCCAGGTCAGAGTGCTGTGGCCCCTACAATGCAAACCACTGGGCGACCAGAGCTGCTCATGTCTACCAGCCTCCCCTCCTCCTCTGGCACCCCTCCTTCCGCTGACCTGTCTGCAGCCACTACCAGGCACTGCTCCCTCCCTCCATGTAAGCATGCCTCCCTTGCAGAGACCCCTCTCCCATAGGAAGCCTAACAGCTCCCAGGCCCTAGGCACAGACCCCTCCCTCTCCCCCAAACCTCCTCCTCCTCCTGCAAAGGCATCGACTATCCCCATTCCCCAACAAGATGGTCAGAGAAGGGTCTGGAGGCCACAATCTAGTCAAGCCCTTGTCCTCTCCCAAGATGGCTCCCCCCTTTCCACTGGATGGCACTGAGGCCTCCCTAGGGTGCCCCCTCCCCTCCCCTCTCCCCAAATGCATCTGGGCTCAAAAAGCCAGGGAAATGGAAGCCAGACAGCCTAGGGTGGGAAGGGACAGATCCCCAGCCCTCAATACCCTGCCTTCATACCGGCAGAGGTCATCCCCAGCCCACCATGCTGATCCAGGGAAAGGGGGACAGCAGCTGCCCCATAGAGAACTCAGATTCCAGGTCACCTGACCAGTTCCCCACCCCAGGCTGGCTGGTGCCCTAGGGTGAACTCTTGGCACCACAGGAAGAAGGGTTCAGGGTTTCACTCCTTGCCCTGGGGCCAGCTCCAGGGAAGGTAGTGGGAAAGATCTGGGGAGAAGGCAGGCACTGGCCCCAGGCCATTATTCCAGCTCTTTAAGGAGGGTGCCCCGGTGAAGAGGGTAAAACAAGAGTAACACACAAAGCAAACTCGCAGGGTCTCAGTGGGGGCCCCTAATATCCGAGGTCTCCCAGTCGGTTCCTCTGCCATGCCGCCGTGGACAGGGTGGGGGTGTCCCTCGGGGGTGCCTCAAAGTGGCAGTCCCTTGTCACCTCACCAGACCTCCCACCCTGCATCCAGAGCACGCACACAGCTGCTCCCAGCACGCCCCCGCCTGTCTGCGGGCCGGCCCCACTCCCCAGGCACACACTCTGTGACCCCTAGGGGTGCCCCAGGGCCTCCCTCCCGACGGCTAGTCGGGGCCCCGGACGCACCTCGCAGCCCCAGGAAGCCCTAGCCGACGACCCCAGCCCCCCTCCCCAGCCGGACGCTCCCACCTTCCAGCCGGCCGAGCTGTTGCTGTCGCCTTTATCCTTGAAGTAGGGCACGTAACGGACCATCCAGTCGTAGATCTGCGAGAGCGTGAGTCGCTTGTCCGGGGCGCTCTCGATGGCTTTGGTGATGAGGTCGGCGTAGGACAGGTTCCCCCACGCGTTCCGCCGGGAGCTCTTCGCTTTCCGCAGCGGTCCGACCTCCGCGCCCAGCGGCGGTGCTGGGGCCATCGCCGGGGCCGTCGCCCGGCGCTCCGGCCCGCAGTCCTCGGCGCCCTCTGCCACCCCTGAACCCAGCGCTCCGTCCTCGTCGCCGGCCAAGTCGGGCTGCGGCAGGGGCCAGGTACACGAGCGCGGCCGGCTCTGCGGCGCGAAGTCGGGGTCCACGTCCACCTGATGCGCTCGCAGCTTCGCAGCCATGGTCCCGCCCGGCTCGGGCGAGGAGGGGAGGGAGACTCCGCGGAGGGTGGGCGGGCGGCTCCGGGATCTGCGCGCCCCGGGGAGGCCCGCGGGAGGGGTCCCTGGCGGCGCCGGCTCAACCGCGGGGCGCCATGGGCCGGGACGCGGAGACAGGGGGCTGGACGCTCTGGGAATCCCGAAGGGAGGGAAAGATGGGGGCAGCGAGGGAGCGGCAGCCCCGGAGCCCGGCGGGCACACACCTCGCCCAGCTCCGCTTCTAGCACCTGCCGCCTGCTTGCGCCTGCAGCCACCACCGCCACCGTCGCTGCCGCCGCTCCCCCGGCGCCGGCCCCGCGCGCGGGCCCCGCTCTCCCGGGACGAGGCCGGATTGCACCATGCCGGAGCCCGAGTCCGTGCCGGAGCCCGCGCCGCCGCCGCCGCCGCCGCCCCGTGAATGCCGCCGCCGCCGCCGCCGCCGCTCCGGCTCCAGCGCCAGCTCCCGCGCCTGCCGCGCTCAGCGCCGGCTGCACCTCGGGATGGGCGGGGGACGGGGAGGGGGCGGGCCCGGCGCGGGAGGGGGCGGGGCGTGCCCGCCCGCGGCCACGGAATCCTCTGCTTGCCCGGGTGCCCCGCCTGCGGGCTGGGGGTTGGGGCGCGGGGCTCCCTGCTCCGGGCGACCCCGCCGCAGCCCCCGTGCGCAACAGCGCCGCCTACCGAGCAGGGGAGGAGAGGCGGGAGCGACCCCGCCCCCTGCTCGGCGCTGGGGGAGGGGGATGCGGGGGCGGGGCCCGATCTCTCTCATTGGTCCGCAGCCGAGCTGTCCCGCCCACGGACTCGGCAGGATCCCTCCCAGAAGCGCGTCAGCGGGTTATTGTTACAACCCGGGGTTTCCCGGGGCAACGGGGAAGGGGCGGGGCTCAGAGCATTTGGCTCCGCCTACCACTCCCGAGGGGGGCGTATTCCGCCCCCTGATTCTAGACCCCTTGGTTTCCAATCTTTGAAACCTGATAGGGCAGATGATCCGGCTCTCCTTTGTGCCCTGGACTGGGCTGGGGAAAGGGAAGGGATCAAGAATATCAGAGTTTGGGGCCACATTGGCCACAACTGCAGCTTCTCCATCTGCAGATGGGTTGGTTCTTCATGGGCTCTTAGGGGACCTGTGGACATAGTTTTAGAGCCTTGGTTCTTAGTTTAACGTGTAACAGAATCAACCTGGAGAGCTTGTTAAAACATTGCTGGGCCCCAGCCCAGTAAGTCTGGGTTGGGGCTCAAGACTTTGCGTTTCTAACAAGTTCCCAGGTGATGCACCCAGGACCACACTTTACAGACCAGTTTCATACGCTCAGGGAGGCTTTTGCAGCGGCTGTTGAACAAGCTCTTGCCCCAGAGTTCATCCTGTTTGGGGAGAAACTTCTCATTTATTTAACAGATACTTATTGAGGACCTTTAATGCACGAGGCACTGTTCGGACCACTGCAACAAGAGTGGCAGGTGACAGAGACCGATGAGGTCCCTACTGCACCGGCTAGTGGAGGACTCAGATGTTGATGGGATCATCATATGGCCTCAGGAAGGAGAGGCTGTCTGAGAAGCTAGGCAGTCCATGATCTCATCCCACAGAGTCCTGGGCTAGGTTTTCAGCTGCAACTCCACCTGCCAGCCTTTGCCCCTCTGCCTGGACAGCCCTTTCCCCTCCTCGGTACCCTCATGGGAGATTCTCCCATTCCTCAAAGCTCAGCTTAATATCAGTTCATCCTGACACCTTCTCTAGCCCCCACTCCCACCGCTGTCTCTGTTACTTGCTTGCTCCCACCACTTGCTGCTCTGCCAGCAACACCTTATGTCACTTATGTCCCTTTAGTATATTATTTCTCTTTTGCCAGTCAGGATACAGAAGCCTAGAGTGGGATGTAACTTTCCAGGAACAGAATTCCAAGCTCTCCAGCCCGGGGGGGTACCACATCTGGAGAGGTTGGAGACCGGGCTGGAGACAGCAGCTTTCCTCTTTCTCTGGGCAGTCAGGGGCCCGATCCATCATAGGACACAGCTGGCTCTCAAAAATTCCTTCCTTCCAGCTTAGGTCCTAAGGAGTAGGGCCAAGGGTGACTGTGGGGGCAGGGCTGGAGGGGCCCCTCCTCGTCCCACCCCCCAGGGTGGAAGTAGGCCCAGCTTGCAAATGCCTGGCATGGCATCTGCCTGAGTCACATCCCAAAGGCAGGGATGGGCATGGGAACCATGGGCTGCCCCCACTCTGCATACATACACACACCCTCCAGGTGGTTCTGTTTAGAGTCACAAGGGGCCTGAAATCACTGCTGGACCCCCTCCCACACTTCTCATATGCCCTGTCTGCCTGGGGAGGCCACACTGAGGGCAGCCCCCTAGGTACCCTGGAGGCCACCCAGGCCTCTTGCCAGTCTCCAGTCATGGCCCAGCCCGCCGTGTGAGCCAGGGGCCTGCTGGGGGCCATACCAGAGCTGGGAGGATCCCTTAGCTGGGGGCCCTGGCACAGGCTGTCCCTGCGGGGTTGGGAAGTCAGATTGGCAGAGACGCCACGGAGACTGACTCAGGCTCTGCTCGGGCCCCTGCCCGCCCAGTGTCCACAGCTGCTGCTGGGACGCTCCTCTGGAACCCACGTCTGGCACACTCAGCCCTGAATGCACACACGCTCAAACTCACACTTACCACCAATACAGACGCTCGTTCTTTACTCACAGCTTGGCTGCTGCTCACACATTCATTACGAGGCAGTATAACGTAGCGATTAAGACTAGGGGCAAGACTAGGGGCAAGTTACTTAACTGCACAAGGCCACCATTTCCTGATCTATAAATGAGTATCATCACAGCACTGACGTCATGGGAGATGTAAAGAATTCAGTAAGCTCATCCATGTCAGCACCCGGCTCAGAGTAAGTGCTCAATAAATGCTAGCTGTTTTTATGACCATTACTGGTTCTCCTGCACGTCTTCCCTTCCCACCCCTCCCAGTCCGCACTGGCCCCACTGCTCACACCGCGCACATGCACACATCCACTGGTACACACTGGCTTACACACACACACACGCGCGCGCGCGCGCGCGCGCGCATGTCCCTTCCCATGTGTCCCCAAACCCTCTTGAGGGTTCCCTTGGCCCCAGGGCTCTCACACTCTGCTCCCCTCCCCCACGCTTGCTCTCTCATATACCCTTCTTACCACTCCCACATTTGCTCCTGCTCACAAACAAGAGCCCACTTGCTTACCCTTGCATTCTTCCCCCTTCCACACACGGGAGCTTTTGCTTCTGCTCTCACTTTCCTGTGCACTCGAATGCGCTCGCATTCCAATGCATGCACGCCGGCTTGCTCGTGCACTTCCAGATGTGTGCTTTACCCATTCAACTCGTACTTGGATCCCAAAACTTGTACACAGACACCCAAGCAACCCCAGTGCGTGCCTCATGACCTCAGTGCTCCATCCCCGCCCCCCACCAATGCGCATTACACAGCCCTCCCTACTATGAACATGGACATGGCCGCAGGGACACTCCCCTCACCCTCACAGGACTACCTTCTCCTGGGCTGCTCCCCATCTCCAGTCTCAGCTCCCCAGCCCTTCCCAACTCTCAGAATAGCCCCTGCCACTGCGGCCACTGCCACTTCCCCGCTGCCACTGCTGAGCTGTCAGGGCCCGCCAGAGCCCGCTTCCCCAGTGCTTGGTGCCAGCTGTCCCAGCTCACTCGGGGCAAGTGAGGACAGGAGGACGGGCTTCTCTGAGGTTTGATGGGCATAGCTACTGTGCACCCCCCAGAACCTCTTCCAGAGCTCATCTAGAAGGAAGTAAGCTCTCAGGGAAGACCACTGCCACTGGCCCAGCATTCTCCAAGTCCCCAGAGGGTATTGCTTGTGTCCCCTGATTCTCATACCACCAGGTGAAGCCTGCTTCCCCTTCCTGGCTCAGACAAACCAAGGTCTGAGGAGGAAGAGGTTTGCTTGAGGCGATACAGTGATCTGGAAGCAGAGCCAGACCAGGGCCAGCCATGTCTAGCCCCTCACAGGAGGACTGAGGAGGACCCTCCCCTAAACCACACAGTCATTATCAAGAACCAACCTCCTGCCCCCACCTTCTGGTGCCGAGCAGATCCTGGTTGACATTTGATGCCACAGTTGTCAGGAAAAAAGAATAGCACAGGAGTGATGTCTGGGGACGCCTCTGGAGGGGAGGGGCTGGTGCCCAGAAGAGGCCTCCAGGGGTGGAAATGGGGAGCGTCTGCAGAAGCCAGAGGGGACATCAGGACAGCTGGGAGAGCCTCCAGAGCAGGCTCAGGCCTGGCCCAGGGACAGTGTCAGGGAGTGGGTGGGGCTGAGCTGAGGCTGTGTGGTAGAGCAGCAGGGGAGGGCCCTCCTGATGGGACCCAAGCCTCCTTGAGCTGCCTCCACCGTCCCTGCCTCGGGCAGAGAGCTCTCTGGCTTTGGGCAAGCAGCTTAGACCAGTGGCTGCTGCGTGCCCAAGGACCTGGTGTTCTCCTGGGCCAGGAGGCTGTGCCACACCCACAGGGAAGACAATTAGGGCTGATGTGGACTCCTCTTCCAGGCCAAGCCCGTTCTGCCCACTGTGCCATTCAACCCTGTGTCTTTATCGCCGTAAGTTGTATGGAGCGCTTACTGTCAGCCCCTGACACATATTATCCAGAAGAATCTGACCCCTTGGGAGCAAGACCTTTTTGCCTATCTTATTCGCTGCTGTGTCCCCAGGACTTAGAGCAGGGGCTGGCACGGAGACCATCAAACACATGTTTCTTGAACGTCAGAATGAGCCCATTTCATTCTCCCAATCACTGAGAGCCAGTGACCATGTTTCGCTTTCTCTGGATGAGGAAAGAGGGTCAGAGAAGGGAAATGAGTGGCCTCCCTCCCTAGGACTCATACTAGAGCCCAGGTTTGTTCCTTGCATTGTACCTGGAGGCACCTAGGGCCTGGGGGCATATCCTTTCCCTTCTGGGACGCCTCACGGGGCCTCCGACAGATGGTTGTCGTCACCC